CATGAATCGAATTCCGGCCATGCCTACAGTAACTGGTAAGCTAGCCCATGAGGAACAAGGCATGTGGCTCGCTCGAGAAGTGCTGGCCCTCGTCCATAAACCATTGAGTAGGGACGAGATATACCAGAATCTGCAAGCAAAAGCTGCCTTGATGGAAGGGGCAACCCAGATGCGTAGGTTGGAAGTGTGGGACGAGAGCCAGGCTGTAGAGGTTGATCAACTGTTGCAGTCCTGTGAGGAAACTGGCCAATCCATCCACATTGCTGAAATAATGCCGATCTGCCACGTCAAAAACGCAGAACTTCCTCCAGAGAAACAGAAACTCAAAGGTAGGTTAGTGTTCAGGGGAGACAACTGCAGAGATGAAAAAGGCATAAAGGCTATCTACCGCGAGGCCAAATCTCTCCCTGCAACGGTTCACTCTATCAATTTGGTTTTGTACTTTGGCATGTTGGTAGGGCATGTTGTCACGATAAGTGGCGCAACCAAAGCCTACTTGCAAGCTCCCTTGAAGTCTAAGGTGCCCACATGGGTGATTTTGCCAAGGATCATCTGGACTGAGGAATGGAAACGAAAGTTCACAAAAGTGGCTTGCCCACTTCACCGTGCCATGTACGGACATACTACTGCAGGAGACGATTGGCACGACTACTTTGATGGTATCTTGGTGAATGGACTGAAAGGGGAGCGAGTGCCCGAGTTCCCTTCCTTATGGTACTTCCCTCAATGGCATGTGCTAGTCGCATCATATGTGGATGATGTAATTGCAGCTGGACCCCAGGAAGGTGTGAACCGATTTTGGAACGAGGTCAAGAAGTCGATTCAATTTGATGAAGTTACTAATCCTGGTAGGTACTTAGGACGTGATCACATGATTTACGAAGATGACAAAGGTAGTAGGTACGTCCATTTCTCAATGATCGACTATGCCCTGAGTGCCGTTGAAATGTATGAGAAGGATTACGGTCCCTTGAAAAGTTGTGAAACACCGTTCGTTTCGGATGCTATGCTGCAACCAGAGGGTTACCAGGCCTAGGGTCAGTTAGCAGGCAGCGCTGCTGCTCTGTTGATGAAAGTTCTTTGGTTAGCACGACTTAGCAGGCCGGATCTCTCATTCGCAGTGGTGTCTCTTGCCGGGGCCATAAGCAAGCGGTCCAGAAATCACGATTTGCAGCTTAAACGGCTCCTTGGTTACTTGAAGTCAACCACGCACCTAGGGTTGGAAGGCTTTGTTCCCAGCACACAGGTCCCCCCTGCCCTCAAGGTGTACTGTGACGCCGATCTCGCAGGAGATCCGTTGACTTGCAAGAGCCACACTGGAATTTTCGTATGTTTGACGAACGATGACGGTCTCATGTTCCCGCTTACATGGTGTAGCAAGCGACAAACAGCAGTGGCGAGATCGACCACTGAAGCTGAGTTAGCAGCAGCTAACGAGGCTGTGTTCCATGAGGCTCTACCAATTCAAGTGTTGTTAGAGAAGGTCATGCGTTCATCAATCAGCACTACCCTACTAGAGGATAATAGCTCATGCATTCAGATAATCCGGGCAGGCTATAGTCCAAACTCCGGTCCATGTCCAAAACGCACCGTATTTCGGTGGCGGCCTTGGCCGAAGCCGTCGAGGAGAACTTGATTGAAGTCTCCCACATTGATACCAAGGCTCAACTGGCAGACATTTTTACCAAAGCGTTGAACAGAATGATCTTCCTCGGTGTTCGAGAGCGCATTGGAGTGTGCCCAGTTCCGCAAGTCAAATCCCGAGACTAAGGTTCTTGCTGCTCGACTAAGGTTCACGGTTAGCTTAAGTAAACTCCCAAACCATCACTATCACCACCCCATCATTCATCATGAGGAGAGGATTGTCTTTGTCGTCTTGTCCTGTGAAGGATACTAAGTAAACTAGGGTTTGAGAGGGCTAGCCCAGCTTCCGAGCGGGTAGCTGAGGAAAGGATGGCACTTTTGGCTTCCTTTGCTGTGCGGCCTTTCTTCGGCGGCGCTGCCGTGAGTAGCCTGTACTTTAGTAATTCAGCCGTGCATTTTTCCTATGCTCCAAAAATGCCATCTGCTTGATGGTCGGCGTACGGAGCTTCTTTGGGGGGGGGGGAGCTCCATTCGCTGGCGTGGAACTTTTTGCTGGCCCATTTGGAGAGGGGAGGCGTGTTGCACATAGGCTGATTTGCATGGTTTCACTGGTTATACTAAAATGTATTAACCTTGTAGTTAATCCAGTTAGCTAACAATAATAAGGTTAACTGAACCTTAAACCAATTTGGCTCAAGTGGATCACAAAACTGGTGCTCCGCTTGTTTCGTGTCAAAATGTTTGGGAGTTCACTATCAAGATTTCGAGGAGCTCTCTTGCGGTGATTGGCACTGCAGACCAGTGCGGCCTGATATATACATATTATATATAATTAGTTGTATATAATTATGTTTAATTATTTATACAATTAAAATTAATTATATATATGTATATACACGAGTGGGCTTCACACAGCAAATGCAATTTTAGGCGTTGGGATTTTTTTTTAGCAACTTGTATCACCGTACAATACAAGTAGCAGGGGCTCACGGTAGCTCTCATTGAAATAGGCTTTTAACATCTTTTAACCATAATTTTCCTTTGGCAAACGCATTTGGCAATGGAACATCCTCCTAATGCATCCATGTTTCGATGAATTGCCCAGGTGAGAGGTGTTTTCCATCCAGCCATTGTGAATTATTACGCGAAGAAATGGAATTGTGTCCTCATACATCTTCATATATCCCCTGAATCTATCTAAATTTCCTCGACTTATCCCCCTGGCGCTACATCAATGGCCATTTGCTGGTTTTTCTCCATCCCTGGGAAATGGAGAATGATTCCCAAGTGTGAACCCATCATATGCTTGGGTTGCTTTGGAACCACTGTATTTCAGCTTTCTTTTTCGGATTGGGATGTTCGCCCGGGGAGGTTATGACACCATATATATATATACACATACATACATATTTAGCACTAATACTAAGACTGAAATGAAAACATAATGCTACTGGTATATGACTGTACATGGTATCATGATAATGGTATATGATGGTGTATGACATATGATGACACTGAAAGTTCATGGTGATATCATATCCCTGTCCTGAAAGTTCATGGGCTCTCTGTGGGCCCCAGGTCTGGGCCATGCTGATGGTTGAACTGAGTCTGGGCCGAGATGGGGAAAACGAATCGGATCGGACACCAGGATTTTCTCCAAGTGCTTTCATGATGGATGGGTCATGGTTACCTATGTAGTACACAGTACACATGTGAATTTACTCTGGGTATGTGCATCACGGCATCACAACTCAAGGTTTTTTCGACACCCTGGGGACTCAGCAGTAGGTGCTCAGTGAGACAAAAAACGGGGAGCCAGTTGGAGCCACGAATTGAGTTTCCCACCCGCATAGTTTGACTGTTGGACATGGTGGGTATATAACGGTAATGATGGGATAATCATCTGAGTTGAACATCTGAACAATCATCTGGATATACTCAAGAACTGATGATGGAGCACTAAAATTCCTTCTGGTTCCATGCCAAAAACCGCTGCTTTGTTGATGGGGCTCGCCCGCCGCACGTTCAGGATCCATCCATCCGTGAAGCAGATGGTTGAGACGGATGGAACCTTTAGCGATTGCCAGTACTGCCAGCGAGCAGCTTGGCCGCTGGTTTCACCCCAGGGCTAGTTTTTGACTCCAGGAGGGGTCTCAACAACCAACCCCGGTGGCATCTGTTTTTTTCCAACATTTGGTGGGTGTGTGATATCGGATGCGGAATTCTGGGCTCCTCTCGTTGCTGTTCTTATTTGCTAACCTATTCACTGCATCCCTCAAGCGCGAAACATTTGTCTTCTTGTTCCAGTGCCAGCTTGTGGAGCGAAGCTCTACATGTGCAGGGCAACGTTCTCATGATTTTTTGCTCAGTTCATCGCAATATATAATTATATAATATTATAGAATCACCAGCCTACTTTTCAGGGGGGACCATACCAAAATGTAAGATGCATTTTTTGAACGTCCCCCAGGTGTCGTTTTTGTGGGGAGGGTCTTCACAATACCTTCAAAATGTAAGCTTTCACATGCTTGCCATCATGTGGTGATATCTGGGTTACTGAATTCTGCAGCAAGCCAGTATTTGACCTGACATCAATGGGATTCAATGCATGAAAAATTACACAGACCCCACCGCATACATCTACCCTCTGATGCTAAAAACATTATGATAAATCTATCAATGGCCCCATGCTCATCCATTTTCCATAGCAAACTGTTCAATTCCCAGAGGATTTAGAGGATTTGTTCAAGGCGGCAGCTCCAGGCCATGTCCTCCGTGATGGATGCAAATCTCTTGCTCTTCAAGCCTTTCGGCAAATTTGGTTGTGTAGACTTTCAACATCTTTCAACCATGGGAAAGATGATCAATGAGCTATTGGGATTATGTATAGTTAAAATGTTATCAATTTAACTGATTATTAATCAACATTAGCTATTGATAATCATAAATTTAATTTCCACCATGAGATTATCAACCTTTGATTATCAGCTATAGGGATTTTGGAGGTTTTTGGAGGGCATGCCCAATGTTTCGCACTAGCAGTGAACGGTTTGTTGATTGATTTATGGCGACCCTGACAACGCCACAGTGTCACAGGCGGCCACAGAATTTGGTGGCCATATCTCCGCAGAATGTGTGTTGATTTTCCTGTCCTTGGGATGGGGGCGAGATCCCAAAAGATGACACGGGCTGGTTTACCTGTGTTTTGCTTTCCAGGGAGGAGGCGAGGGGGTGGATTGATTGACAGATATGCTTGATCTTTGGCTGAGGACTGACATAGTTTCATAAGAAACTGGAATATACAAGCTATCCTTCCCAACTGGCATATTTCGGGAGACTATATATGTCATCTAAATTTGCATAAGTTCTATCCCCATAGAAGTAGCACATGTTGCGCCAAAAGAGTTTCACTTCCCATGGATCATCCCCGAGTCTATCTTACTGCCAGGACGGTCATTGCGGGCGACAGTTGGGGTGAGATTGCGGTGCCGGTGATCCAAGAGCACCCGGCAACGGCGTTCATCTTCGCCGGACGCCTTTTCGCAGCAAGTTCCGAGGATCATCCCATAGGTAGCCAGTAAAATTGAGGTGCTGGGGTTGGAAGATTACCCTCTGGTAAACTAACATAGCTATTGAAAATTGCCATTTATAGTGGATTTACCCATTAAAAATAGTGATTTTCCATAGTTATGTTAGTTTACCAGAGGTTAGTGGTTAACCACTAAGAATGGGTGATTTTCAGGGTCGAACTATGTCGAAGAGTTAATTTACCAGAGGGTAAATGCTTAATAACCATGTGTATAGCCGCTTAGCCCAGCTATAAATTGGATAACCATCCCCGTCCCCAAATTGGGGACTTCACTAAGAAAGATGATCATCCAAGAAGCCGTGAAAGATGTGGAGTTTACCCACCATTTGTAGGTCAGTTTTCCGAACGGGAAACCAATCGTTTTCCACATTCCGCATATTGGTTTATGCTAGGGTAGGTTCCGGAGGTGTCAGCAACGATGAGTGGGTTTCTCCCAGCTGGATACTAATGAGAAGCAAAGCAGTGAGGAGATCCAATGATATTTGTTTGTCTCTATATGTGTTATATCCAGGTTTTATGTGTATGGTTTATGTCTATGGTTGACATTTACATGTATCTTTGGCATGTACATTGCCTTATTTAGTATATAAGTCTATGTGCGCACAACATTGCACAACCCCATCCCACAGAAAAGAAAGGTGTCCTCTCGATGTGACCTGAACTCTGTGTGGACGGCGCACCAGGGATTTCAACGGATTTTTCAACGGATTTTTTTAAATCATGTATCATTGATCCACCACATCTTGCGGTTGATTCACTGGATTGGCTTTCTAAGCGGAAATGATGGGTTTTCTCCCATCAAATTGATTGGGCCTTAGCGTTCCCGTAAACCAATCCACAGAATGACCAACCATTGATACTTTCAATCTAAGAATAGCAAACGACCCACAGAATCCTGCTTCAGTTTTGGGTCCATTCATATAAGTGGCAGATGTGGAAGAAATTCGTATGCCCGAGGGATCCATCATTGGCGGCCCAGGATCGCTTTTGTCTCTAGTCTTTGGCGTGCTCAACTTGCCACTGGGAGCAACCGGTGAGTCGTTTCAGGTGGCAATTCCTGGGTATGTGTGGGGTAAGATGTTTATTATTTTGACATTGGGGTTCCCTAAGTTGGGTCGATGAAATCTCAACTAGGATGATTCCTGGAAATTTGCTTAGTCTCCGTGGAGATCCCTCATCGGGACAGGTGAAAAACCATAGAAACCTCAGGTAAACCGGCAACAAGCGTACCGCTGAGCCCCAAAAAGACACCTAAGCGATATGTTTGAGATATGTCCATTACATGATGTTATATATAAATATATACATAATATTATTATTGTTATCGTTATTATTGTGATTATTATTTGTTTATTATTATCTATTGTTATTATTACAGTGTATACATAGATATATATATACATACATATACATAGAGAGAGAGAGATTATCCTTGTTGAGATAGTGTCAGTTTTTTGGGGTGTTAAACAGAGCTGCCTTATTGTCGCCACATTTGTGAGCATGCATATATACATATATATATATACACATGTGTGTGTAATATTTACTTCTACAGCACATGCACAATATTGTTTCAATTTTGCATTGCTGCCCTGAGAATGGTCAAGTTTCATGTGTCTACTCACTCCAAGAAAGTCAAATCCCAGCCTTCGTTTCAGAGTGGGAGAGACCCAGTCATCAGAAATGCCCACTATCCTCAAGTGTTATGTTGACAGAGGGAGCCTGAGTTATTGCATTTCACGATGTTTTGGATCCCGATGCACATAATTCTTCTTATGTCCCATGAAATTATATGCAATAAAGCCGCATCAAATGCTTGGATAGTCCCATTTCTATGGCTTGATGGTGGTGAATCCATCGTGCTGTTGAAAGCTCCAGCTGTTGGTGGCCGCTATAGCCCGCTGTTGTCCGATCTTGGGAAGCATCCCAAGATCGACCGGCATTGTTTGATATGGTTTGTTTATGTTTGTTTTTCCATAAATATACACGTAACATACATGGTACACTTACTTAGATATCTCTCTATGTTCTACTCAAATTGACAGTAGGTAATTGGAGCTATAACCTGATTTGCGCATACTGCTTACCTTTTCTACAAACCAAGAAGATTACGTTAATCAGATCTCCCAGCTTCATCTAGTTTCAAATCTCTATGTCTATAATAGACAGAATAGTGATAGATTGAACCTTGTTTCTTCTGTTTTGGGGGTTACCATATACATATATTTACATGCATATGCCATAACCGCATCATATTTCATCATATCCCATTATAGTGAGACACATCCTTGACAAGATCGTCCCATAAATTCGAAAATCCTCACGGTGAAGGAGTGATGTTTGACGGTTAATGAAATCCCATGAACGAGCTCGATATGTCCACCATAAACCATGGAAAACCAATAGAATTCTAAGCCAAGTTAACCATAGAATTCACCAAACATGTTGACCAACGTTAAGAAACTTGTGGGCACCACCAAGCGTAACCCTAAGGATCGTGGCCGTGGTGGTTGACACCTTCGCTGAGGCATCGCAGATCTATCCGGATGTTTTTTGAAGCAGCAGTTTGATCCATGGGAAATGGTGCTTCAAGCAGTAAAGCTTGGACTTCGACAATCACACATGTGGATTTAATCGATGAATAGTAGATAAAACTCTGCCAGAACTTCTTCAAGGATAAGGGCCATGATGGGCAAATCCCCATTTAATACACCAATGACAAAATCCCAAAAATTGTTATTTGTATCGGTCCGTTTGATGGATGGTGCCCCGAAATTGCCACTTTGACAAGGAAAAGTGATGATTAACCACCAATTGTTGGGGTACCCTATTTTCAGACAAACCTGGATGGATTGGAACCACGCAAGTTGCACCATTCTTCATGCGGACCTGCACCAAACATCGTAAGTAACAACCACACGGAACAAAGAAAATATATTAAGTTCAATACGGATTGGGTAGAAAGAGAAGCTACAGCCAAGAGTTGTTTTTGCCACCAAGAATATATAACTGCAGGGGTTCACACATATCACCATATCATCCCAATGGTTATCCTAATTGTTTGGGTGCCTACCATCAGAACTCCAAACTAAATATATCCATGATTCCAAGGATGCCACAAAACATGCCATTACATCCCATGATATCCCACCATGTCCCCATAAAACAATTGGCTGGTGTTGGTTGAAAAAAGGTTACCCTATCAGTTTGACCCCTTCTTTCATGCAAAAAAAAACCTATGTTTGATGGTTGAAATCCCATGGACCAAGTAATATCAAGTAATTACAATGTCTGTTGTACAATGGCCAAAAACAATAGATTGCCGTTTCCCCAAGGTATCCAACCGGATATGCAAATTCCCATGTGTCAATTTCTTAGTGAAATCGAAACGTTTGATGATATCCCCCTGATACCCCCATCGTATCCTCATACAAATTAGATAACCACATGTACTTGTTAGCAAAATCCCCGATATGACCCATTGACGAAGGCCCCTGTTTCACCACTTGCCCATGGACCTCTATCATTCTCTATCAGCTAATGTGGTACACCTCATGCCCCAAAATTTACCATAAATGGCTGGGATGGTATTTAAAATACACCATCAATCCAGCTGGTTTATGGCTGGCGGCTGCCAGGCACGGCAGAATGATGTGCAGAGCCTCGCTGAGGAGATGGAAGACGAAGTGGCCGCTGGGTCGAGGGAATCTGTGGTCACAATCTTCATCCAACATACAGTAATTACTGTAATCTAATTGGGGGTAAGACTCATTTGTTTGGCTTGGTAGTTTCATATGCTGTTGTGATGAAACACACTAAAAACTGATAGTGCCTAGACTTTGAGGGTTGAGTTTCCTAGTTATGGAACAGCCGGACAGCCCACGAATTGTTTACAACAGGTTATTCACCAGTCACGATTTGAGGGATGATCCTGTACGGGAGAAGCTAGGGTGAAGGGCGCGGTACTGGGCCCATATATATATATATATATCCAAGAACTAGCCGCTATTGACACATCAACAACGAGGATGTGGCCGACCGGAACATGTATACCTGGCTAGTGACCAGCACCGGGACTAGCGGGGAATCATGCGGCACACCCTCAGGGTTATTTCCAATAGTCATGTGCATTCAGACAACAAACATATTGAATGATAGGAATGATAGGTTTCACCTTTTTTACCCACCTGCCAGGTGAGGGCCTCTAGATTCTAACAAAGGTGCAACTTCTTCTCCTCCTTCACCTTCTACCTTCACCTTCTTCCTCCTCCTTCACCTCCTCCTCTCTGCCTCCTCCTTCTGCCAGCTCATCGTGACTCTGGGCATCAGGCGACCACGAGCTCTGGATGCTGTGGGCCACGCCTGGACCCGAACACATGCCAGAGAGAATGCCAGATAGAATGTCAGGGTATATGCCAGAAAGAATGCCAGATAGAATAGCGTATATATATATATATATATTTATTTATTTATATTTTTATATATATACATATATTTATATATATATGTTTATATATATATATTTATTTATTTATATATATATCTACATATCTATATATATATATTAATGTTATGTAATGTAATGTAAATGTAAAGTAATGTAATGTATGTATGTAATGTACGGTAACGACATTTAAACATGTGGAGGGCGGGCCAGACCCAGAGGCCCCGGAGGTAGTATGAAGTACATTGAAATACCAGTTCGTATATTTAAATGTAGTTAACGTATGCCATATTTACTTCCAGACGATATGTTAGAAACTATGGCAGAATAGTGTCTCAGGGTGGAATGGAGTGGAACTGCGCTTGGTGATTAATCCCACCACTGGCTGGTTGAACTAAGCCCATTTACTTCCCGCCCAAGCAAGGAACACGACCGTCAAGTCCTAGCTTCGATCTTTCAGCGAAGCTGGGCACGATTGGTCCAAGAGATTGGGTTGAAGACCTGCAAATGATGGCAGTTTCAATGGGAAGATTATAATCATGGGATTTTGAGGGATGCAAGAATCATATCCGCGAAATTTGTAAGGGCGGGAATCCAAGACCGTGCCATGTTTCAACCATGGTCGATGAGGAATTAGTTTGAATTGCTGTGGTTTATCAACGGTTGGAGGTTTGAACCAACAACGACGCGGATATGTTGACACGACGTCTACCCATATTTGAAATATAAAGGTTTGAACAAAATTGGGAATGTGGTTTGCTTATTGAAGTTTTTGTTTGCAGTACCATTTATATTCTTTGACTACGGGCTCAAATCGCCAAGGAATTGACAAGGACGGCAGTGGTGAGTTGACATTGGCAGAACTCGTGAAGGGTGCCCTGGATTGAACCTGGTAGATTGGCCATGGATTCCTACCAGAAACCCATCACTATTATTCTCGTGTTTTTCATGGATTTAAAGGAAATTTTACAGGAAACCCCCGTTGGTTTTGACGGGGAAAATCCAAAATTTCCGGTGAAGATTTTCGGTGAAATCCGGTGGCGCCCCAGCTGAGTCATGTTTATGGGGCATATTTGGAGGGATGGGATTAGATTTCAGAAAGTTGAAGAAGTTTCATGTTCCATGTTTGGTTTCCAGGATTCCCGGTGTCATATATATATATATATATATAAACACGCTCTAGATTATATCTCATATATATATATGCATATTGTCGATATATATATATTTGTTTTATCTATTATATCTATATCTATATATTTTTTTTGTTTGGTACTCATATCTATATATATATATATTATCTGTTTATTATTTGTATATTATCTGCATATATATATATATGCATAGTTTTGTTTGTATATGTTTGTTTTTGTCGACACCCCTTGGCCCCTAAAGTAAGTCAGACACTATACTTGAACCCAGTTCTTTTTTAATAGGAATGTTTATGCCCATATATATATATAACCATCAAAACGGTTTCCATTTTCGGATTTTGATCATGACACATGTGTTTTCTACGCTGCAACAAGCAGCTATCTTCAAACACTGCATGTCACAGAAGCGTCCAGCTTCAAATTAAACCGAAGGGGCCTAGCGAATTGGCAATCTACGGATCCTTTGCCCATGATCGAATGACATTTTGGTTCCAATTGTTGCACTCCGAGAAAAAGGGGGGAAGCATCACCCATCCCACTAAATCCCATGTCGTCCATGTCCCCAAGTGTTTAAGCCATCAAGGTTTTAAAACAAAAAGGTAAGCACTATATTTCATAGGGATCCCTTTCAAAGGGGAAGCAGTGTATATTGACTTAAGGGACCTGACATTTCATGCAAGAAAACCTGTTATTTCATGCCATGAAATGTCCTATATGGCACCGGCCAAGGAGCTCGTGAAGACTCGATCTTTCACAGTCGCTTGCGGGTCATGGACACCGCATCGGTCACGGGCGATGTGGTGATTTTCGTGGGGATAATGATTATTTATTAATCAATCATGACCATGATCATAATCCATTGGAATTCGGGGTACCCGAGTTTCGGGCAAACCCATCTTTTGATACAGTAGTTTTGGAGTCCTTCCCATTTGGGCTAAGGGGTTGGCCCACATCCCGTGTGGGCCCGCGCGTCCGCGCGTGGCCACGCGCAAGGACATTGATGAAGATGACCTGCAGCAGCTCTTTTACATGATCGACCATGCATGGGGGCTCAGTGCCGCAGACGGTTTCGGTGATACGGTGGTTTTGGATGGTTAAGTTAAAACATGTTATATAAAACCCTATTCTATAAATAATGAGATAAACCACCTATCAACTGGTGCAGGATTTCGCAACCATCCACAGTGTTAGAGGTTAAAGACGTTCTTCGACTTCACTACCAGAAACTGGCTTTTCAAGGAGCTAATGAATAGTCTTCGTCAGAAAAAAAGCACCTACTTAGACCCTCCGTTTGGATGAAAAATTGTGGTCCCAGAATCATGGGTATATGATACGGTATGTTACCCTTTGGCTTTTGAACATATGGACAAATATGCCTATGATTTATATTAGAATGGTGGTTTTCCAGGCCCCCAGGTCGCCCCGGTGTCAGGACAACTCTGGCACAGTAGAGGTGGATGAGTTTATCGGTCCGCTAAGTCGATGGGCACACGTGCCTGGCCACAAGTTTTTCTCGGTGATTTTTTTCGAAAAAAAACAGCAACGGGTTGGTGGTTTGGAACACCATTTCATATTGGTTTATTGGTATGATAAACCACGAATTTGGGAATGGTAAACATATACCACCTATATTAATTTATCTGGTTGGTGGTGACTGGAACCATGGAATGGATTATGACTTTCCAGAAACAGTTGGGAATGGAAAATCATTCCAACTGACGAACTCCATGATTTTTCAGAGGGGTAGGTATACCACCAACCAGGCAAAAAATAGGGAAGAATAGGATGTACTGTTGTTTGTGTTTCTTTTGTATGGGCATAAGATTCAACAACCAAACAACCACATGGGATGCAAGCTCGGGTCTTGGGCGTTATTTTATTCAAGAGATTAGCGTTTTGAGCGTCCTGGAGTAAATCAAAGAAAGAAATATGTATTTGAGAAGTTGGGTACAGCCTGTGATAAACCCATTGCAAAACTTCCGTGGCGGTGGCACCGTCATGTGCGAAACATGCATCGCAGCGAGGATTCGAAGACAGCGCCGCGATTCATCAAGTACAACATGCTGCAAACCATGCAGCTTCAGCAGGACTCAGTCCTGCACTTCAAGTTGTCCAGGTGATCATGAAGTTGTTTTGGAGTTTTGTCGAGTGCACCTTGAAGATTTTTATCCCTACACGCAGGGTTGGCTTATTCGTTTGGGGTTGGGTTGCCTGTTGCTATTTCTATCTGCCAATTTGGCTATCCCGCTGTCCTACAACCTCTGGCTACAACCGCTGTTTGGCTATCCTGCTGTCTGGCACGCAAGTGGTTGACATCGCTCAGTCACATACAATATATAAAACTGCAGATATCCGAAATGAAACTAGCTTCTAATATGATTATTATATATATATGCTATATTATTCATTTGTAGCAGCCCCCAAACCGATAGGGGTCAGACTTTTTCAATCTGGAAATCATTCAGAAAGACATCCTCATCCTCCAAAGATCTTCCAACTATCGATAGCGCGGTCAGGATTTGTATGACCTTTCGGTCACTTGTTTCGATGAGCTCTCCGCACGGATGGATGGCCTCACGGAGGGCTTAGCATATCGAAGTGCGGTACCAGGCGCCCATAACTTGAGGGCAACGTCGCCCCAAAAAACATGTCGCGATTTACGGAGGAAGAGATACTTTTAGAGACGGTTGATATGGCGTAAGAGCTGGTTGGTGTAACTACTTCACACTGGACTGCAGTGTTTAGCACAAGAAGCCGTGCAGGAGGAGAATCTTACAGCTATAGCTTAACATGAATAGACAGAAAAACATTAGGCACGCCGGCAGCTTCACGGATATATATATATATACAATATATATATATATATTGATTATGTGTTTGTGGTTTCAGATGGTTATATAATTCATAGTTGTGTGATTCAATGCAAATTCACACGTGCATATGCTTTTACATTTTTAGTTGAAATAAAGAAGCATTTTACCTAAATGTTACACATATGTCCATATGTTGCAAAATATTTATATACACTGTACACATTACACATATGTATATATATATATGTATATGTGTGTGTGTGTTTCAAGCACACATGTGTACAAATATAGCAGGCACAGGTCTTTAGATTGTTGATAGTTGCATATATTTACTCTTGTTTATTTACATTTATATACGTATATCATTTATGTACAGTATGTATTCTAAATAGGAAGGCTTCCCCATGGTGAAGGGATATTCAGGCTGGTTGTTTTTGTGAAGCCGATGGATAGTGCTACATGAAAACGGGTTACAAGTTGCACCAACTCCAATTTTCGCAAACGATTCCAAATAATTCCAACCATTTTTTTTGGTTGTGATCCATCTTAGTTCTTGGGGGCATGCTGCCTGGTTTCCAAGATGTTCGACCTGGGACCCTGGGATGAATCCTCCAGATTCAGATGTTTAGCGACCCTCAGAAAGAATCAAAAGATATAACAGTAATTATCACCATGCTTAATGATATTGTTTCACCATTTCATTGTTCTTGTACAGTTCTAGTTTTGGGGGGATGACTCTATACATACATATATATATGTGTGTGTGATATATATATACGTGTGTATGTATATATATATACTAGACATACTAGCATGTTCATATATTTAATATATGTATAGACATATATATTCATATACAATTCACACACGGTTTTGTGAGGCGGAATGTATGCGTACGTGTACGGTGTCATATTCTTTCTTGACTTGCCACCACATGTTCGTCAGAAAAACATTATACTATACCCGTAATCAAACGTGGCAATGGGAAATCCCTTATAAATGGAAGCTTTAATGGGAAAAAATGTAAACAGTGGATTTTCCATTCCAATGTGTGACTGTCGGGGTAGAAACAAGAAATCACCCAATTATATTGATTTTTTCATGGCAACCGCAACCCCCGAATCAGAAGATATGTTTATTTTGCTTTCTAGTTTTTAAACCACCCAAAACAAGCCGTTTCTTCTCCGCATAAAATGCATAGATCAACTATTCAAGCTCGCATTCAGCGAAGGGTTGTCCGTGAGGCCCTTGTGAACCCTCGGAGACTCCAGACACGCAGCAAGAAGCTCCAAGCATCACCCCGGCCGCGGGCGCTGTGCCGGAGAGCAAGGGGTATGGTGAATCTGGTGACTCCCTGCAACGTGCGAAGATCACGTATGCCGAAATTGGGCTGGAACGAGCATCTTGGATAGCAAAGACACTTGAAATTGGGGTTGAATTATATACTTGCTCTCGCATGCTTTAGCTATGAACATATAAAATCATATAAACTCATATTGTATACCCATGGGTGCCATGGATACCTGAATATTTTCGGGTCCAAACCCACCAGCGCCAAGATGGATAGTAATTACATCTTCCAACTTCCGAAACAATACTATTCTTGCAAGGTTGTTTGGGATGTGAATACGACAGGCAACCGTCTACTGGCTTGCGGTTTCAATGCCATTCTGCGTTTTCATCTTGAAAAATGATGATTATCCAGAGGTGAGGTTGCAGCTAACCGGTCGGGAATCCCGGTTAAATTCCAAGCAACATGGGCAGATTGAGTTGAAAAGATCATGCATGTTGAGTGTTCAACACCCATTTCCGTGCGTTCTAGCTCGCGTTCAAGAGACTGCATCCTTTGAGCCATTCTTAGCCACTAAGATGCATGGAATTGCATGGAAGCCATTTACATTGAAAGACAACGACAAGCTCAAACCAGAGAATTCCTGGCTTAAGTTAGTTCGAATTTGGATCCAGGGTTGGGGTGAAGTTACTACATGTTACAGTTCTTGCCCACTGATGCGATATTTGCTTACATGTGGAGGGATCAGGACCTGGTGTTGACATGTGTTGACCCCTCATGTTGGCTGCTGATGTTTTTTGGTGTCAACGCCAGTAAGAAGTCATGCGCGTGTTGATATTTTGGGGGTGGGGGGTTGGGGCAGGGTGGGCTGGGAGAATAACGTTCATATCGACTTCAACTACATAGTACATTCTCATGCACTTCCACACATACGTCACGCTACGCTGCTGGACGTTCTCTTGCACTTCCACACATACATCATGCTACGCTGCTTGACGTTCTCTTTCACTTCCACACATACATCATGTTACGCTGCCGCTGCTAGACTTTCTCTTGCACTTCCACAAATACATCATGCCACGCTGCTGGACATTCTCTTGCACTTCCACACATACATCATGCTACGCTGCTAGACTTTCTCTTGCACTCCCACGCATACATCATGCTATGCTGCTAGACTTTCGCCTACACTTCCACACATACGTCATGCTACGCTGTTGGACGTTCTCTTTCACTTCCACACATACATCATGCTACGCTGCTTGACGTTATCTTTCACTTCCGCACATTTCATGTTACTCTGCCGCTGCTAGACTTTCTCTTGCACTTCCACAAATACATCATGCTACGCTGCTGGACGTTTTCTTGCACTTCCACACATACATCATGCTATGCTGCTAGACTTTCTCTTGCACTCCCACACATACATCATGCTACGCTGCTACACTTTCGCCTACACTTCCACACATACATCATGCTACGCTGCTGGACGTTCTCTTCCACTCCCACACATACATCATGCAGCTACCCTGCTAGACTTTCTCTTGCACTTCCACACATACATCATGCTACGCTGCTGGTCTTTCTCTTACACTTCCACACATACATCATGCGACAATGCTAGACTTTCTCTTACACTTCCACACATATATCATGCTACGCTGCTGGACGTTTTCTTGCACTTCCACACATACATCATGCGACGCTGCAAGACTTTTTTTCACACATATGTCATGGTACGCTGCTGGACGTTCTATTTCACTTCCACACATATATCTTGCTACGCTGCTAGACTCTCTCTTGCGCTTCAACACATACACCATGCTTCGCTGCTAGACTTTCTCTTACACTTCGAAACATATATCATGCTACGCTGCTGGTCTTTTTCTTACACTTCCACACATACGTCATGCTACGCTGCTGGACGTTTTCTTGCACTTCCACACATACACCATGCGACGATGCAAGCTTTTTTTTCACACATACGTCATGCTACGCTGCTGGACGTTCTCTTTCAATTCCACACATACGTCACACTACGCTGCTGGACGTTCTCTTGCACTTCCACACATACATCATGCTACGTCATGCTACGCTGCTGGACGTTCTCTTTCACTTCCACACATACATCATGCTACACTGCTAGGCTTTCTCTTGCACTTCCACACATAAATCATGCGACGCTGCTAGGCTTTCTCTTACACTTCCACGCCTACGTCATGCTACGCTGCTGGACGTTCTCCTGCACTTCCACACATACATCTTGCTACGCTGCCAGACTTTCTCTTGCACTCCCACACATACATCATGCTAAGCTGCTGGACGTTCTCTTTCACTTCCACACATACATCATGCTACGCTGCTAGGCTTTCTCTTGCACTTCCACACATACATCATGCTACGCTGCTGGGCGTTCTCTTTCACTTCCACACATACATCATGTTACGCTGCCGCTGCTAGACTTTCTATTGCACTTCCACACATACATCTTGCTACGGTTCCAGACTTTCTCTTGTTGTGGTGAATCACCATGTAATACATGGGCCATGGTTTCCATAACGTATTTTCAACTTACCAGAGGGTAACATCTCCCACCCCCCCGAATCTCAAATTTGAGAGATTTTGAGAGCACTAGTTTTTGTCAACATCCATCAACCTTAGGATTTTTCAGTTGCCCAGGTGCTGCAGAATCTCGAGATGAAACTGGACCTGCTGATGGACAGAGGCGCAAGTCGTCTAACCTCCAAATCTGGCGGAAACAGCTACAGCATGGTGCTGGCCTCCCGCGGCACCGGCGCGCCATATTCCGCCGAAGCGCCTTGGAACGCGGCTAGGCGGCCCATGCGACCAATGCTGCACAAAGAAGCTTTTCGGCAAATGTATTTGAGACGCTTGGAAGCACTTGGTCTATCCGGTGAACGGAAAGAACTATAGAGGAATTACATTAACTGGGGAGCTAAGGAGCTGCTAAGAGTTCCCCGACCATATATTCAGATGCTTGCAATCGCTTGGAGCCACCCTCCGGTTTCGTCATTGCTGGGAAATCCACAAACTATAAACGGGTTTAATTTTTGGGAGAGGAATGGAAAGGTTATTTTGTATCTTTCAGTGGGGTAGGTATTCGCCATGGTTTTGCTTTCCGGTGGTGAATGGATGGAGCTGTCCTTGGAGCTATTCCCAATGAACAGGTGGACCAAGGGGACTATGAATTGTGTTTCCCAACCAAGTGATAATCGATGTTATAAACCCCAAAAACGAAAGATATACCAAATCTGCGTTTTTGCGCTAAACCGAATGTGGGAAGTGGTGAACACCAAAGATAACCCCCAGTGAGCCAAATCTGATTTTGCCATTTGGGGGCTTGAAAAGTAGATCTTAGAAGATTGAGGCATGACGATTGGATTTGCTGCATTTGCCTCCCGATGAGAACCGAGAAAGTGCATGTTTTTCTGATTAAACATGTGGGTTTCAGGCATAGCCAGGCGAAATTACCAGAGGATAAATCACGGTTTTCACGAGAGGGGGCATATTGTGATGATATACTGGCAAGTTATTCTGGTTGATGGTTTCAATCCTGTTTGATTTTCCACCCTATTTGAAATTGATAAATCGTTCTGGGATGGGTTGAAGCCACTGACCAGCAATAGTCATGGGGTAGATTCGAGTGGCTCAAAATCCACAGGACCAAAGTTGATGGTTCAAGACTGGAAACGACCATACGTGCAGCCCCCAACTGGTGCCGGATCATTTTTCTTCAAAGCAGGACTTGGACAGTTTCAACATGATGATGTTCCCTGCTGACTTGCGGTGGTTGATTTTTGAAGCTTGTTGGTGACTCCCTCTGTATACATTCCGTCTGATTATCAATAGAAAGGATCTAGAAACAGTGCCAACACTTGGACTTCATGCCTGCCTAGATTCCCAACATTTTCCCAATATCTGTCCAAAAGTATCCAGACATGCCATATTCCTGCATATATGGTATCTATGCCTTGATATCATATTGATACCAGTCATGCTCGGTTGTTCCCGTGATATTTCCCTCCGCCATCCACCCAGGAGCCCGTGATCCACAGAATCCACGGTCGCCCCGGACGAGCCTCGGTCCCCAAGGGACCCAAGGGACCCAAGGGCTGCTGGGCTTGGCCTCAAGCAGCCTGGGCTTCGGCTTCGCCGGCTTCGCCCCGCGGCGGAGGTCACAGAGGTCACATTGGTCACAGGTGGAGAGGAGCGCCAGGGGATGCCGCTGGCCGGGGTGAACAACAGCAGTTGATGATAGTAATGCAATTGTTTTTACATAAATAGCAAAGGAAAAAATCCAGCAAATTTTGTGAACCAGGATTGCCAGATATTGCCAGTTTCGATGATGTTTTCCGGATGATCTATTCTAAGTGTCCAATTCTTTGGCATCTTCTTAGTTGTATTTAGCTGTATTTTTGTATTTTTTTTGGGGGGGCCTGAGATATTTTTTTGTATTTTTTTGTTTGGCTAAGCTATTTGAGAATCTCGTTTGTTTCAACAATGGCTGATTTGGAATACCCTTTGCAACCCTAACTTGTGACATCTAAGACATGTACAGAACATGTTGCTTGTTTCCTTGGTCCTTTCCTTTGCAAATTTCATACATATTCGTACACTTTTTTTCACTTTCCATTGGTTCTTTCAATTTTTCTCGTCGAGACAGCTGAAGAGGTATTTGAAATTATTGCTGGTTTATTTTTATTTCTCGTTTGCAATTTGGGTCAGTAGCTGTCAAACACAACAGCAGCATTGCTGCTTTTGCAATGGCAGATGGCTTCGATCCAAGTGGCATGTCTTGGGCTTGAAATGGGGCTCACAGTTCCGTATTTCGTATCATCACCCAGAGCTGGGAACTTGGTTGCGCACGCCATGGGGTGTTGACTGCAGCGTTCTAGCCAAAGCGGATTGACAAGCGTCTGAGCAAACAATGAAATCACAAAGCCCATTTGCATGCAGAAAAAACTTTCCAAAAGCATGAAAGGACAAAGGCGGGCTCTGGAGCTTCAGGAGGGCGGTGGCTGTTCGGCTGCTTCGGCTGCTTCGGCTCAGCATGTCCACGCAGCGAGGAGGGCTGTTTCGGCCCTTCAGACTCGGCTCCTGCTTGCGAAGTGTTTTCAAATTTTGACCTCAAGTGAGGCTGCTTCGGCATTAGCGGTAGCTGTTTCAGCCAAGCCCTTGCAGCATCAGGTAAGCTGCTTCCGGCTGTCAAAGCTGCTTTGGCTTGTTTTGACGCTGTTCCGACTTCTCACTTTGAAGCTGCGTTACATACTTAGTCAGTTTTTGTACATAGCAGGTCGCGATGGACTTCTCGCAAAAATAGGAATTGGCTGGGGTGGGTTGAAGCGTCAGGGTAAAGACTTTGGGTTTCTGGTCGAATCTACCAATGGGTTGAATCTAAGAGACGATTACCCACAAATATTGGGAGATTCAACGAAAGCTTTGATTTGGAGACAGTCTTGGCTACTTAATATGTGTTTTTTTGTCCTCTCCTTAGGAGCATCAAAAAAAATTCAACGGACCTCGAATCAACGGGTGCATGGGAATGTCCTCTCCTTAGGAGCTTCGGGGTTGTCCTTGAACCTCCTAAGGGGAGGACGACAAGGGGACGAAACTGGAATACTCTTAAGTATGAGTTTTTCAAAGGCCTTTGTCCCATTGTTGTCCTCTCCTTAGGAGCCTCGGGGACGTCCTTGAACCTCCTATAAGGACAGGACGAATTGTCCTCTCCTTAGGAGCATGCCTGAGATCCGCTTCGCTTCAGGAGCCTCGGCTCAAGCACTTCACGGAAGCTTGTGGCTGAAAACTGGCCACACTATCTCTACGCCAAAGAGGTGGCAACTGAGTGTCTCGGCTACTGTAGCTGTAGCTGCTGCGGCCACTTAGCTGCTTCGGCTTTTGGTGGCTGCTTTGGCCACAAGTATGCCACCGCGGCATCGACCAATGTCAGATCAGCTGGAATGGGCCGGATCTTAGCCACATAGACTGCGGCGGGGTGCTGTCTTCAAAGTCGGATGTGAGATGCAAAAAAATGACAAGTGGAAAAGTGGATAAACATGCGCTGCGGCAGCTGCAGACACCCTGTAGACTCAGTTCAGGAAACAGCAATTGATTTATAACAGGTGCAACGAAGATTAAAAAAAGCTCACACATTTCAATTTCAAGGCGTTTCCTTCTGCAGCTGTTTCAGCCCAAGAAAGCTGACTCAGAATCAGCCAGCTGTGCACTCTGTAGTGCTAAGGACCCGCTGAAAGAGACCTGCCCTTAGTCCAAATACGGATAGTTGGAACTTTGGGGCTCGAAAAGCGGTTTCAGAAGCACCGCAAGTTGAAATGCAGCAAGTGGGGATCTCGTGGGCCGCCCATATTGCATATTAAGAAAGAGGGGCCAAAGATGACTTTGCCAAAGCTGAAGTCGGCTTGGTATTCCAACCGTGGCTGTTTCAGCCAAGGTCTGTGTCGGATTTGTTGGATGGTGGTTGGTTCGGCCATCAACAGGTCTGTTTCAGTTTTTAACCCAATTGCTTCAATCAATACGCAAAAAGATATTTGCAAAATTCGTCTGCTACCGGGGGAAAAAGCGTGGCCACGGCTCTTGAGATATTTTTCTCAAAGTTGGTGTTGAGCACTGCGTCGCATATCTTTGTCGCGACTAAGTTGCAGTCTTAAGTTTGCGTTGGTCTTTTACATTCTACTTCAAGGTTGTTTATTGTGAAGCCCCTCTTGTTATGTTGCGGCAAAGTTCAAGGAAGAAAGACGTGAAAGATATTTGTTATTCTCGTTTGCACCTCTTCCTTTTTGTTGGATTTCTCGTTGACGGCCCAAAATAAAAAAAATACAAAAATACAGCTAAATACAGTCTTTTGGCGATTGAAAGCCAAGATCCCAGTTATGGGTATTCGATAATGATGATAATGAACATGTCTCACATTAGACGTAACCTTTTTGAAATCGTGGTCAAATAGAGTCCGAAAGCCACATGAATACCATTGAATACCATAGGCTGGTTGGAGGCTATTGGCGGCTATGAAAAGTACCGTTGTGTTTCTGTGATCTCATGTGCTTCCCGTTTTACATGTATATCAGAGTCACTAGCATGATGAGATTCACAACTATTTATATAAATTATCTATTGATAGATAACGATATTATATTATTATATATATATACGTATATTGTGTATATTGTTGCATATTCAATTATCTTTTTGTTGCGATCATTTTTCATATTGCAGTACATGTGTGTACATCATATTTACTGATGTGGTTCATCATTTCGGTTGTAAATCGGAAGATCGCACTTGACCCATTTTGGAGACGGTGGCAGCCTGGCCCGTCGCAGGAGTAGCCCGCGGAGCCACTTGTCCTTGTTCGAGGGCGGGACCAGCGGCTGCTTCAACGAGGATTTGGGAAACATGGAGAAACTGGAGATGATGACATGGACATGTCGATATACATTGCTGGTTGGTGGTTTGGAACATGAATTTTATGACTTTCCATTTCCATTTATTGGGGACGATCATCCCAATTGACGAACTCATATTTTTCAGAGGGGTAGGTATACCACCAAGCAGATTGGAAGTGATTGTTGCTTAAGCATCGACGGAAAACACGTTACAACCTTCTATATTTTGATGAACAAATACGGTATCATCAAACATGGGGCCATGAGAAATTCGTGGAAATCTCCCACCTTTGGAAGTTTTAAGCTGTTTTGATGGGAAAATCATCGAAGTGAATTGCCTAAATGGTGGAGGTTTTCCTCGCGATGTTACCGGAAGTTAAGATCTGATAATTCCAGAGAAAAACATGATGAAATGAGATATAATTGGGGCGTGCGCCAAATTGATCTACAATCAAGTGTGTATAATTATAATGTATATATAATATATGTGTGTGTGTGTTTGAATGTGTACAATTATATATATGTGTGTATGTAATGTAATGTAATGCCATGCCATGCCATGCCATGCAATGCAATGCAATGCATTTTCAGTTGGGCCTGCTGGTTGCTGGTTTCAGCCTTTTATGTGGAGTGTCCGAATGTCCCAAGCAACATGGTTAACCTGGTTGATTTGTTTTTGTAAGGGGAAGTGTGGAAAAGACGGACAGATATTTCTAGTAAGCAGATTGGAGATATTCCCCATTACATCCAAAATGTTTCGGAAATCAGCACGATCCTCACCCAATTTCGCTGTGTTTGGTTTAAATTTGCTGTTACAAACTGGACAGATGCCAATTTTGATCAAGAAATTGGCGCCTGTTTATCTCACCCACTCCCACTTCCACTTGAATGCACCTTGGTCACCAGGCGACCATCCCAAAATTACGTTCCTCATTTGAAGAGTTTGATGCGGGCACCAACGGAAACCATCATTATGTCATTGTTGGTTTGGCCCATCCAGTCCCATCACCTTACACCACATTCCATCACCGATCAAGTTGCTCCAACCTGAAGTTTGTCACATTAACCATTTGAATTGCATACCACTTGGCAAGGCGTTCATGTGATATCCATGCTTCTAACCACCCTAAACCCAGCCAATCAGTATTTATGCGAGTTCATCCTAGTTCCGGCCTTGAGTGGGAACCACTTGAGCAGCGAGTAGTTTTGTCGAGATCAATGTATTCCATTACGAGGATCCCCAAGAACTACCCAGGTTTGGCCACCAGCTTTCCGATGGCCTCGTTGCAAAGCCTCGACCCCACAGCCAGTCCTCCTCCGCCTCCGCCTCCATCTACGCACATGGCCAGTGCCACTGGTACCGCCCGCGTGGCGGATCTCTAGCGTTTCACGGCGTCAAAGCGCTACTTGTTGGTTCAACAACGAGTTGTGGGATTTGATCCCATGACTTCAAAGTTTCTGTCAATGTGACGCTTTGGATTCCTAATTGCTAACAGCTGACAATAAAACATGTTTAACAACTAGTTGATATGCTAGTGTTTTCTTATATTAGTTTAGTGCGTATAGGTGCCTGCTGCAATAGCTTTCTCTTGTCTCCAGTGCTTGGTTGAATTAACTTTGGCTTGGTGGAATGTTTGTGCTTGTGGAGAAAAAGTGGCAAAGCCATGGGCATGGCGTTCCGGCAGCATGGTCCACTTGGTGAGTTGGCTCCAAATGTGCCATGTTCCTTTGATTTCCTTTGTATGCTTTCAATAACTTACCTATTGCATCAAATTATACTATTGCGTACCTCTAAAAAAATACGCGTGTGTATTTATTGTAGCTGCATCCGTATGTACACACATGTTATTTCCATGTATATATATATATATACATATAATTATTGCATCACTTGAAAACGGATGTTCCAGTGTTGGTGTCGACTTGCCTCGGCTTGTTGGCCTCAAAGGTTCTCTTCTGCGCGGCCCAAAGAATTCTGGGCAGCATGTTTAGGATTGGCGTCCATGTCCATCGTCCGCCTGGCACCATGGTGATAACTCCTGTTGCGTGGCAGAGTGTCCACTTGATATTTTTCTTTGTGAAGGGGGTGGAAAACCCTCCTGATGCAGATTCAATTGCAACCAGGACTGCCCGGGTATACTTCCATGACCGTTTCATGTCACAACTCGTTGGCAACGATTGCAAGCCACTGACACGAATTTTGAACGCCCGACACAAGCAAACGGACCAGGAATGCTGATTAGATCTCATGAACGCTGCAAGTTAACATCCACGAGGTATCCACATATTGAATCCATCCAACAGCCTTGTTGTACGAATGCCTCGCGGAATTTCGTGACAGGAGTGTCCACCATCCATCCAAGGGACTTAAACCAGTTTTTGCCTTTGCTTTGGGACATGTTGGGCGAGAATATCGCCAAACCATCGATCCTGTTCGGGTCACGGCGGATTGGGCTGAAAACATGCGGAATGTGCGGCCCTTGCAAGCGTATGACCAAGCAACAAAGGCCTTGGGGATGCAGTTCCAGCTAGTACCTTTTTGTAATCAGACATGGCAATGGAAAAACCCATAAATATGATTTCAAAAATTGCAAAATAATATATATATATAATTATTTGTTGAATAATAATATATATATATAATTTAATTAATATATATATATATCATTATTGTATTTACATGTGCATATATATATATACCAATGGAAGCATGAATGAGAAATAATGAGAAAATTGTCTACATATGGGTGATTTTCCATCGTCATGTTTGCTTACCAGCGGGTAAGTGAGCATATAATAGTTGCCGGGATTTTATCAAAAATCATCGTCATTATTGTAATCGTTTCAACTGCGCTCTCAAGTGCCCTGTAAGGGATACTGACAGAAAGGAGGGGAAGAGTGAAGTGGGGTGGGAGATAGGAAGGAGTGGAGTTTTTTTTTGGATGCTGAAGCTCAGCAAGAGCACTGTCCAAAATAGTGACTATCATGTAGAATCAATGCCACGTGGGCTGGGGTAGCAATGCTAAATAGCATTTTGCTAATAGTAGAATTACACGATGACTACATTGAGATTGGCAGCTTGACCTCGCGACCGACAATATGTTCTTTGGCTGTGAACATTGAAGAAATAGCTGGCGAGTTAAACCAACTGATTCGTATTCACTACAACTACAAACCTGACAAAACAATACACTAACCGTTGATTCTATCTCATGGTCCAAAAATTATGTTTAAACACGTATTGAACATATAGAAAACTCTTTGTATACATTTGTATGTATAGTTGTATATATATATATAAATATATACGCAGATATTTGCGGCTTGATCATGTAGCGGCCCCACGACACACCAAGCCCGGCTAATGATACTTAATATGCTTGATATTCAAAATTATAGGTTTAACTTGTCTTAGATATATGATATAAATTGATTTAACACATTACATCTTTTTAACCTATAACACCCTGGTGCGCAAAAAAGAGGTGTCGAACTTTCCAGTTTTCTGGCAAAACGGTGTCTGCCAGGATTTTGCGCCTCCAAAACTACAACGTTTGTTGACAGCAGGAAAAAGGCAACAGGAGGATGAAACAATGTGATCCATTGTGGATTATACCATTTATGGCAACTGGTGATTATAATATATTATAATTATATAACGATGGCAACTGGTGTGTGATATTACAAGGCAACTGGTGTTACAACATTATATATATTTGTAATTATATATTTATACTACACACATTTACACACCAGTGTGATTCATTGCGTTTTTGATTTAATGTTACAAGATATCTTGGGGATTCGCTGTGATTTTTTCAGACTTGGTATGGTGACCCGGCGACCCCTTCTGCGCAATCCATTCTCAGAGACGCCCATATCATGTCAGTTGGTTCATATCCGATCAAATCATCAAATCCATTGATATCTCATTTTAACCCGGTTGCAAAAAAAACGATTGCACATCATTAAAACTCCACTTATAGCAAACCCCCAAAAAGATGCAAAAGGAATTTATCACTACTCTGACTCTAATAGGATGTTACTCTTCTATCTTTTTGGTGGTTGCTATACTATGTACCATTAACGACCCACATCTGTTGGATTGCCCACCCACTTTCAATATCCAACCATTTTGGCTCAAGGTGACTCACATTGATACGTGTGATTTTCGTCACTATCTACGTTTCAATGCCGCTACTTGCCAGTGCGAAGGCACGACTGCAGAGGGCAAAAGCAGCACAGAGAGAACGCGAGGCTGCGGAGAAGACTGAAGGTTCCCCTGAACCTGAAGCAGCCGTACAGGCAAAGGTCGAGAGTTGCGGGGATGCACTGGAGCAATATGATGTTGCACAAGCAAACAAGTTCCACGGCAAGTTGCAGCAAGCAACTCCTTCCAGCAAATTCCATCTGCAGTCCGGAACAGCAGGCACAATGATTGGCACAGCGCATGCCAATAGTGTAGCAAGCAGTGCAGCAGGCTATAACGAGGAATGTCTTGTCCCTCATGTTGCTGCAGCTTCTGCCGAAGGTTTGCATTTGAGGCTTGCAGTGGTTGTGTTATGGCAGGCATACCGCTTCCCTATATATGGAGCCGCAATTGCAACTCAACGATGGTACCATAACAGCTACTACAGGCTATGCAACCACAAGCGGGTTAGCTGTTGTGCACTTGCTGCTGCTTCCGGTATGTCTGCAGAATATGACTAATTCTCTCAACAAGTTGCCGAAACGATACGTGGTTTACAGCATCACTCAACGGCACGCTGCTGCAATCACACACAGCAAATGGATTCCCCAGGGCGTGTAGGCTCAGCCGTCTTGAGCCTGTTTCGTCCAAGAGCTGCATCCAGGCTTCCTGATGGAACAATGTCTGCACCACTTCTTGTCAATCGGCCAACGGCCCACCTTCCGTCAGGAGCTGCGGTCCTCGAACGTCTTCCCGAGGAGACAATCTTGCCTGTGATGAGCCTTTTCGAGACTGTCTACATGCCACAGGTGAGTACGGATCAAGCGGCGCAGATCTATGCCTGCAGCATCCTGCAACTTGTGAAACCGGTTAATGCAGCTGCTCATGACTCGTGCCATCGTGCACGTGAACGAGCGTCATGCTTGAAGCTCCGATGCGGGCAGCTTGGTTCTGCAATGAGCGACGGGCCATCTGACAGCGCAACTGATTATTCTCACCCAACAATGGCAGTCAGCAAAGAACTCTACGAAGAGTTCAACCGCGACCCATCAAGCCGCATGGCGTTGATTGACTTCGCAGATGCTTTGCAGCACAGTCCCGTGCAGGCTCTTCGCTTGGCAACACAGCAATTGATCCCGCTGCTCGCCTTTAATGCCTCGTCATGGTTCATTATCACTGACTTGGTTCTCACGATGTTCCCGTCTATCCGAGGGATTCGCTTGTTAGAACCGGCCATGCTGCATTGGAAGCACATTGAGAATTTTGCAGATCGATACAAGCGAAATCCACGTGACCTGGCCCTTGCAAGAATGAGAGGAGCTGAAGGCTCTCAAATCTTCTCCAGGAGTGGTGTCGAACCGCTGATTGCAATCGGTGCTCGCGTTGGAGCCAGGGTAGCCAGGGCATCATGGGAGCGAGTTGAGACTAGCAAGAAGGAATTGTTGGTGGACGAAGACCTCATCGAACAGACAGTTGCTGAGTGCCTTGCACTGATGGATCAAAACAAAGCGGCCATCCTGCAAAATGCTGCCGCGGAGGAAGACGAAACACAGTTTGAAGACTAAATGTCAGGTGAAAGACATGTCTAGAAATTCTCGATTTTTGATGAACTCAACGCTGTGAAAAGAAAAAACATAGTATTTACAATCGTATCATCAATATCCTCATTTTATATCCTTAAGTAAGGGCCCACAAAATGTATCCAACGATTTTGCCATTGTTGGATGAACCGTATTTTCCATGAATATAATGCATACGTAAATGTCCCATAGCAACCCCCAAAAAGATAGAAAAGCACAACTACCGGATGGCATGCTCCCGTTTTTATTATCCCTTTATACAGCCATGATATAGCATTTAGATCTCATCTTAGCCTTCAGGCAAAACCATGATAATCAATCATAGCACGCCGGAAAATCACCATGTAGTTCGATTGTTTTCTGAGTAGAGGAATGTAGAGGATCCGTTTATAGGTGATTTCCAATTGTTGGTTACTGACGGGTAGTCCGAATTCCATCATATCCCCCGGAGTACAGAGAAAAGTGCAATCCCAAATGCATTCCATTATTGTCATCCCATTATTATCATTCCAGTATTATTACCCTTGATATAGGCATGAGTCGGTTGCAAGTTGGTTTAATTTATAAACCATAGTCACACTAAATGTATCTACGATAAATCCTAGTTATTGGACTTATACATTAACGTAGCTAACGAACTGGGGCACCACCTACAGCATTCCATGACCCTGAGGCAGCTCTTCGCTTCCGGACCTGCGCCTTCCAACGTCTCCTACGACGCCACGCTGCTGGCGACGGCGGCCGCGGGCGCTGGTGCCGGCGCCTGGCGCCACGGGCTGCAGCTGCTGTGGCAAATGCAGTGCCGTGGAGCCATGAATGGCATTTTATGGGGGTTAATAGGATGAATAGGGATTCATAGGGTTTTAACCCATATATCCCATGGTTTAATGGGAGTTAATGGGATTTTCACCTATATAACCCATGGTTTAACCTGAACTAATGTGGGAAGAACAATGCCATAAACCACCCATGACTGGGAATGGAAACCATACCACCAAACAAAAAATGGTGATTTTCCTGGGGGATGGTGCATTTATGGAATTGTTTTACCAACATAGATGATTTACCCAGTAAAAATGGATACCCTCTGGTAAACTAACATAACTTTGGAAAATCACAATTTTTAATGGGAAAATCCACTACAAATGGGCAATTTTCAATAGCTATGTTTGTTTACCAGAGGGTATGTTCCATAGTTATGTTTAATTACGAGAAGGTGTATCACCATGGACGTGTAACACGTCCCAACTTATGGAAGCTATTGGTAATTCGGTGATAGAAAACTAACCCCCCTGTACCCCCAAGTATGGTTTATATGCCTTGAATGGTAATCAAACGTGGTTTGCTGGAAAACGCCCCATTTATATCCAGTTATATAGTTCAACGACTTTCCAACAAAATTCATGCATGGTGGATTTTGAATTGCCACGTTTGATTACCGTAGATCCTATGAGTATCTCTGAATATGCTGAAATTACAGTTGTTCATTGTAGTTGATTATATCATGTAGGATCTCTGATTGTTTTGTAGCTGATCATTGATATATATGCAAATTATATTGTAGTTGATTGTTTTTTTAATATATGTATGTCTATGAAACCAACATCATAGGCATGACCGTCAGAAATCTGAGTGTAGCAGAAAACAAAGAAGCGAAACCAAACTGTAACCCTGCACCAGGGAACAAGTGATGGCTCGCCATGTTGGGCCAGGATGGGACCCAACATAGCCATTGAAAATTTGCGAATTTGTAGGTGATTTAGCCATGAAAAATTAGGATTTTCCATAGTGTTATATGCTTTTCGAGAGGGCACCTGACACCACCACAGTTTCATGGAAACATGGAGTCCACGGGATGATCCGCAACCCTTCAGTCAGGTGACCAAATCTCAACCACCAAGAACCACGATGATTTGTTTTGGCGAATCTTCCCTATCCAATGTTTGTTGCTAAAAAAAACTGGCACACCGGGGTGCCGATTCTGAATCTGAGGCACGACAGCGGATGCACGGCTTTCAGCTATGAGCTGCTGATGAATGCGCTGACCTCTGGTCGCGACACCCTTGTGACGGCGCAGAGCTTGCTTGCCGAGGCAACGTGGAGCACCGGTGTTGCGGTGTTGCGCAGCTTCTGCGTCCTGGCAAGCACCCTGGCAAGCACGCGCTTGCCCTCAATTTTGTGACACAGACTGGAACCAAAAGATTGCATTTCCAGTAGGAAAAGATGTTTTTTGGTCGATATTTTGCAAGTGTTCAATGGGTTTCGATGTGTTATTCGTGAAGACTCTGAGAATTTCACAAAGATGCCATTCCCATGAAACAGCTGAGACCATCGGTACTGCCGATTGCCCTTCCATTTGTTAAAATTCGTCGGTTTTTTCTCTGTATTTTTGTCTTTTTCCAAATACACATATGTATATACACACACATATACACAATTATACACACATATTCTATATAAGTGAGAGAGAGAGAGAGAAATATATATATACACATACGTATATATAACCGTTTTTTTACATGGTCTTTACCCACGTGCAAACCAACTACTTGTAGGTCCATAGCGGCCCGTGCAGGTTGGGGAAGAAGTGACCGATGAAATCCTTGAGGGATTGCGAGAAAAGAAAAAGTTGCGCACTGCCTGAGATACTAAGAGTGTACATGTTCCATCGTTCGGGGAACTTCTACATTTCATGGACGATGTTTTGTGCCTGCTTTCAAAGGTTGAAAAGGTAGTCGTGACTGAAGCACAGATGACTGGTCAGTCTTAGTCTTTGACATGAAGATGATCATCTAGTGCCGCGATTCTGGGAGTCACCTTATCATGGTGAAGACATCAATGTCAAGCAATCACAATGGGTGATATTGAAAGATGTTGAAATTCTGAAAGCTCCAACTGCTAGCTGCTAGCTAGATGATTCACTCGTTGTAAAATTATAGGTCACAATCCCAAGATTTTTGTTGGTCAAATCGCCATTTATGGGGCTGGTTGGGTCCCATGATACCCCACCCCCTGGCTCCAACCAAAAAAAGTTGCCAAGGTCAAAACCAACCTTTTCCGCGCGATGGAACACTGAGAGCTGTCCAAGTGAAAGCCAGGTGACCTTGGTAAAAGGTGTTGTTTTTTAAAGGCTGAAATAGGATATACATGGATATAGAATCTTCTATATCTATATAACCATGGATTATGGCAGATGTAAGTATAGTTAATGGGGCTTAGAAACCAAGTTACACTTATTTGGATGACTTATGTTGCAACCTCACGTCGTGACCTCACTGGAATGATGGTTGATAGATGCGGAATCATCCCCACATGGCTTACATTTATATACTGAATTACTATAATTCAGCCAGATTAATTAGAGTGTACCTTCCACTAAACTAACATGGCTATGGAGAATCACCATGCTTAGCAAATCATCCGTAAAATGGGGAATTGTCCATAGGTATCTTAAATTGCCATACGGTAGTCAACACGTAAACATATATCGTTATATTTCATTTATTGATGCATATACGCAAAACCAACAGAGAATGTGCAGAAAACACGGCCTTTAACAGTGAAAATAAGCACGTGATGACTCTTTCCCTGCGTGTGCCACATAAATAGATCATGTGTATATGTTTATAAACATGCGAAGAAATTATCATGAGATCCCGCTCAGTTTTTTGTGTGTAATTATCTGAAGTGAATGGTGCTCTGTGCTACAGGATAATTTCACCAATGGATACGCATCATTTTATTCTGCTTGGTCGTGAGCAAAAGTAAATGTCATTTAGGATGTGAATTGGGTCCTTGAAAGGCGCTGCCTGGAAATAAGTTGATAGACTGATAGACAACAAACGGCAGACAAAGGTTTTTTGTCAATGATGATCAGAAATCGACCAAAAACAGATGTAATGAGGTAAACCCCATTATAAAACATGATGAACCACCTTCTTGGGTGGTTACTGCAACCCATGTTTGGTAAAATCGGGATCGTTTACGATTGGCTTTATCACATGGCATTAGTTTGAACACTGATGTTTTAAACCTTGACTGCGCGACGAAAGAGTAACCAAAAAGGGAATCGACAGCTGTGTCAGGGATTTGGTGTTGGGAATGCTGGTGGATTCCCAGCACTTGTGGTATGTTGTGGTACACCAGCCAGGGGTTTGGAATGATGTGGGCTCTTCAAGGAATTACTGACTGGTGGTTTCTGTCAGTTTTCCCCAGACATTGTGGAACCCAACCTAGTCAATCGGGAAGATCCAGATGTTCCAGGGTCCTAGCTGGGTCGTCCAAAAATAAGGGAGAGATGGGGAGAGAAAGTATCACATTAAGGGAAAACGATGCCCATGTCTATCAATGATTCTTCCTGAGGCCCACCCATGATTCATGAAATTAGATATTACCCAAGAGCCTATCACCGTACGATCATTTAACTTTAGTATCCTGAAATGTTACCCAAATATTACCAACTGCAAAAACTGGTTGGTGGTTTGAACATGTTTTATTTTTCCATACATTGGGAATAATAATCCCAACTGACTATTTTTTTTTCAGAGGGGTTGAAACCACCAACTACAAAAATGTGTCGCCGAGAACGAAAAATGGCCGTCGCAGATTTTTGTCACGTCCGACCGCCGTGTCGCAGGTCACCGTACACTACACTGGTCGCCTTGAGGCCAGGGCCACATTAGCCTCTGGTAAACATACAAAAAACGATGGAAAGATCCACCATTTTATAGCTGGGTAAATCAACGATTTCTATGGGCCATACATGG